TAAAATTCTTAAATGTAAGACATGAAAACATAAAAAGTCCTAAAAGAAACTATAGGGAGCAAAATCTTAGATATATCTTGTAGCAATATGTTTGTGGGTTCATTTCCTAGGGTAAAGGAAAGTGATAAAATGAACAAATGGGAATATACTAGTATAAATGAAATTTGTGTATGGATAGGGTCCCTAGGCATGGCTGGTGATCAGCACTGATTTGTGGAGAGACTGGTGGGGTAATGGGGGGGAGCTGGTACCCACCTTGGCCAGCCTGGCACTGCCCACTTGCTGCCTCCCTCACAATGCCTTGCTGCCACAGTTAGTCATCTTCTTCTGAGGGGTGACCTGAAGGGCAATTGGAGGTCCCTGCTTGGCTGGCCTGGTGGCTGAGGGCTGGGTGGGGGGCAGCTCCTGCATTGAGCATCTTCCCCCTGGTCAGTGCGCATCATAGTTACTGGCGGTTCCATAGGTTGTTCCACTGTTTGGTCTATTTGCATATTAGGCTTTTATTATATAGGATCTATACTAATATAAGAAAAAACATGCACACAAGACAATCAGAAGTGAGTATGCAAATTAATCCAACCAAGATGGCTTCTGCCACAGAGCAAGCAGGCAGCTTGGGCTTTCCTGGCAATGGAGGAAGCCCAGCTACACGGCCTGCTCTGGTCTCTGCTCAAGGCTACAAAGTTTCAATTATAGAAGATAAATAAATCCCAACAAAAATGGCAGTGGCCACAGAGCTGAAGCAAGCAGGAGGCTTGGGTTTCCCCTAGGGATGGAGGAAGCCAAGTTTCCTGACTGGCCCTGACCTTTGTTCAAGGTTACAAAGTTTCAATTATAGAAGATAAATAAATTCCAGATATCAAGACCTCCACTTGGGTTGCCAGGGGATGTGGCTGGTCTGCAAACCACCACAGGCTCCTCACTCAGGCCAAGCCATGCCTCAAGTAACCCCCACCCTGATCTGGGATACCCTTCAAGGCAAACCAGATGCCCCTCACCCATGCACCAGGCCTCTATCCTATCAAATAAAAGAGTAATATGCAAATTGACCATCATTCCAACACACAAGATGGCTGCCCTCATGTGGTCAAAGATCCTGACCCGATGAGGACACAAGATGGTCACCACAAGATGGCCAGCAAGGGAGGGCAGTTGGGAGGTTCCAGGCCTGAAAGGGAGGGCAGTTGGGGGCAATCAAGCTTGCAGGGGAGGGCAGTTAGGGGTGACCAAGCTGACAGAGGAGGGAAATTGGGGGCAACTGGGCTTTCAGGGAAAGGCAGTTGGCGGGGGGGACCAGGCCTGCAGGGGAGAGCAGTTGGGGGACCAGATCTGCAGGGGAGGGCATTTGGGAGCAATCAAGGTGGCAGGGGAGCAGTTAGGCATCAATCAGGTTGCCAGGGGATTGGTTAGGGGGTGATCAGGCTGGCAGGAAAGCTAGCAGTTGGAAGCCAGCAGTCCTGGATAGTGAGAGGGATGTCTGACTGCCAGTTTAGGCCTGATCCATCAAGGGGTCCCAGATTAGAGAGGGTGCAGGCTGGGCTGAGGGACAGCCCCCTATGCATGAATTTTGTGCACCAGGCCTCTAGTATATATATAAAGCTCCTGCACAACAGAAGAAAATATCAACAAAATAAAAGGGAACCCACTGCATGGGAAAACATATTTGGCTATGATGCATCTGATAAAGGGTTAATGTCCAAAATATATATGAAACCCATACAACTGAACAAAAGAAGACAAGCATTCCAATTAAAAAATGGACAAAGGACCTAGATAGGCACTTCTCCAAAGGGGACATAGAGATAGCCAAGATAAATGAAAAAATGCTCAGTCACTGATTATCAGAGAGATGTAAATCAAAAACTACAGTGAGGTATCATTTTACACTTTTCAAAAAAATCAACAAATGGCAAGTCTTGGTGAGGATGTGGAGAAAAGAGAACCCTAGCACACTGCTGGTGGGAATACAGACTGGTACAGCCAGTTTGGAAAACAGTCTGAAGTTTCCTCAAAAATTTGAATATGATACTGCCATTTGGCTCAGTGATCCCACTTCTAAGAAACCAGATACACCAATTAGAAAGAATGTATGCACCCCTATGTTCATAGCAGCATAATTTACAATAGCTAAGATATGAAAACTTCCCAAGTGCCTGTCAGCAAATGAGTGGATAAAAAAGCTGTGGGACATTTCCACTATGGAATACTATGCAGCAGTAAAAAAGAAGGATCCTGCACAGCAGAAGAAAACATCCTAAGACAACATGGGAGGATCTGGAGAGTATTAAGCTAAGTAAAATAAGATAGTCAGAGAAAGACAAGTATCACCCGATCTCACTCATTTGTGGAATCTAATGAGCAAAATAAATTGTTGAAAAAAATAGATCCAGAGACAAAGAAGCAGGGAACATACTGATGAATCTCAGATGGAATACAGGAGTGGGCAGGAAGAGATCAACCAAAAGACTTTCATGAATATATGGTTAAGCCATAGTCACATATAATAGGGTGGTGAAGGCCTAGGATGGGAGGTTGGGGCCAGCTGGAAAGGGTTAGTGGGGGAATACAGGGGACACATGTAATACATTCAATAAATATTTGATAAATGAATAAATTAATTAAAGAGCTGAAGGTTTTTAGTCTTGAGTATTAGAAGTGCATTTGTTGGGTGTTAATAGAAATACATCAAACCATTATTTTGAATGGCATCACCACAGTTTAGTGCATTTAGGAAGATGTATGCATCCTAAGCTTGAATTTTTCCTTAAAGCTAAATATCGTAAGATTTTTGCATTGCTTAAAATGTTCTTTTGAGACCTTTTGTTTATAAAATCATGTACCCTTTGTTTCCAGTGTATCTTGGACCTGCTGTAAAATGGTAGTGTAACTAGAGGCCTTTTGCATGAAATTTGTGCACCCAGAGGTGTCCCTCAGCAGTTCAGGTACTCTTGGGGGATGTCCGACTGAAGGCTTAGGCCTGCTCTTTGTTAGTTGGACATCCTTAGAACTGCCATAGAGGCAGGAGAGTTTTCCGCACTGATGTTGCACTTGCCATCTGTGAGTCTGGATTCTGGCTGAGTGGCACTCCCCCTGTGGGAGCGCACTGACCAGCAGGGGGCAGCTCCTGCATTGAGTGTCTGCTCCCTGATGGTCAGTATGCATCATAGCGACCAGTTGTTCCACCCTTTGGTCGATTTGCATATTAGCCCTTTATTATATAGGAATAGGGTCAAAAGTGTATTTCATTTTTATGCCACTACTGTACTATTATCAATGCATTTAATGTTTTTATAGAATAATTTGTGCAGCTCTATATATCATTGCTTCAAAATTCATATATGTTAAATATTCATGTTTGTTAAGTTTGGTAGAAGAAAAATTGTAGTACATTTTATATTTTTGAGGTGGAGGGAACAATTTCATTTTGTGAAATCAAAACCATCTTTTTAAAAATGGAATAAAAGAAATTATTTCTTTATAAGGTGAGCATAAGATATATTAGTTTCTGTGAACCTGATAATTTGAAATTTGTTATTATAAAAAGCAATTTCATGTTTGGTATTTTTGTCATTATAGACATGGTTCTGTTCTAGTTAGCTTTGAAGTCTGTTTTAATTTTTGAAATGGAAAAGAGCCAGTTGACTTTTCCAAGATCCCTAATTAAATATTCTTACACATTAAATTGATTTTATTCACATTCAAGTATTAAGTTTGAATGGGATGCATTTTTACAGTAATATTTGTTTTCTGGTGAATCTTCTCATCATGGTTTTCGTACATCTTATGTCCCATAATCATTTTTAGAAACATAGCCAAAGTATAATGAACTATGGAAATTACTAGTAAGCTAAAGAGTGGCCCTCTCCATTGATTTCCTCTATGTTTTTCTTAGTTATATAAACTTGTTTTATTATGTTTAATAAATGAATCCATATTTATTAAAACCACAAATTTATTACTTTTATTATGTACAAAAAGGATTATAAATCATTTGGCACTTGGCTCTTTGTTTTACTTTTAGGGCATAGACAAAAAAAATGTTCCCTGCCATTTACAACTTTAAACTGAACACAAAATGTTTAAACATGTGAAATAATCTTGGATCTCTCTAAGGAAACATGTAGGTTAGTATTCTCCATATAGAAGCCAGTATAACTTATAGGGTCAAGTCAAAAGTAATATTCTTATTCTTTGAGTGAAATTATATTATGTGACAGTCTTCATACATTTATATAAATTAGAACAGACTAATACCATTTTAACTAAGCCTTTTTATGGCTTTCCCAAACACAAAGTCTTAATAAGATAAAGCTTTAGTATTACATCCATGTTTTTTAACTCATTCCTGCTTTCACCTGCAAACAAAGGGTGAAATTGAATTGCTACACAAATGTGTGCTTGATTGAACAAGTGAACTGATGAAAGTATAACAATAGAGTTCCTGTTTATGTATTGCTATGTATTTTTCCTGCAAACCCTTCAGGCAAAAGTATTGATAGCAATTTTCTTTTTTCAGTACATAAAAGGGTTTAGGTCAGTCCAGTAATTACAGAGGAGGTGACACTTGAGATGAGATTTTAAAGATGATTAGGAATTTTCTGGGCAGACTAGGTATGTGTGTGTGTGTGTGTGTGTGTGTGTGTGTGTGTGTGTGTGTGTGCAAGCACACATGTGTAGTGAGGGGATTAGAAGCAGTGAGGACAATTGGCTAATGGATTTCTCTTCTGCTCCTCACACACCCTATTTTATCTTTCTTTAACATCCCTATCAACTTCCCCCCACTCCAACCCCCTGTTTTACACTTCCAGAGTTTTGTTAAATTATAATTTAAGTAAACTCAATATTTGCTTAACATCAATATTTCTATATATAAAATATATTATTGGGTTTAATAATTTTTTGATGAAGTCTTTAGGGTTTTTTATTTATAATATCACGTCATCTGCGAGTAGGGACAGTTTTACTTCTTGTTTTCCAATTTGGATACCTTTTATTTCTTCTTCTTGTCTAATCACAATGGCTAGTACTTCCAGTACTATGTTGAACAGGAGTGGTGAGAGTGGGCATCCCTCTCTTGTTCCTGTGCTTAGTGGAAGTGGTTTTAGTTTTTGCCCATTGAGTATGATGTTGGCTGTGCATTTGTCATATATGGCTTTTATTATGTTGAGGAATGATCCTTCTATTCACACCTTGCAGAGAGTTTTTATCAAGAAAGGTGTGTGTGTGTGTGTGTGTGTGTGTGTGTGTGTGTGTGTGTGAAATGTTTTTTTTCCTGCATCAATTGATATGACTATGTGATTTATCACAATAATTTTTTGTGATTTATCACATTTATTGATTTGCACATATTGTAACATCCTTGCATCCCTGCATAAATCCTGTTTGGTCAAGGTGTATAATCTTTCTGATGTACTGTTGGGTCTTATTTGCTAGAATTTTGTTGAGGATTTTGGCATTTATATTCATGAGGGATATTGGCCTATAATTCTCTTTCATTGTGTTGTCTTTATCTGGTTTTGGTATTAGGGTGATTTTGGCTTCATAGAATGAGTTTAGAAGTGTTCCTTCTTCTTGAATTTTTTGGAACAGTCTGAGGAGATAGGTTTTAGTTCTTCATTGAATGTTTGGTAAAACTTCTCTGTGAAGGTGTCTTGCCCTGAGCTTTTGTTTGCTGGAAGCTTTTTGATGACTGCTTCAATTTCTTCCATAATTAATGGCCTATTGAGATTTTTAGATTCTTCCAGATTGAGTTTTGGAAGGTTATATTTTTCTAATATCTCCATTTTCTCCAGGCTGAATAGTTTTCTGGAATATAGTTGTTCATAGTATTTTTTAACAATCCTTTGTATTTCTGTGGGATCTGTTTGTTATTTACCCTCTTTCATTTCTAATTTCATTTATTTGGATCCTCTCTCTTTGCTTCTGTTGAGCCTGGCTAGGGGTTCATTGATCTTGTTTATCCATTCAAAGAACCAGCTCTTGGTTTTGTTTGTTTGTTTGTTTGTTTGTTTGTTTATTTTTGTCTCTAGGTGGTTTCTCTCCACTCTAATCTTTATTATTTACTTCCTTCTGCTTACACTGGGCTTTTCTTGTTGCTCTCTTTCTAACTCTTTGAGTTCTCTGGCCCAGTAATTTATTACCATTGTTTCTTGTTTTTCTGCAGTAGGCTTATAGAGCTATGAACTTCCCTCTCAAGACTGCTTTTGCTGTGTCCCATTGATTTTGGATTGTTGTGTTTTCATTGTCATTTGTTGCCATGATGTTTTTTTATTTTTTCTTTCATCTCTCTGGTAAACATTCATTGTTTAATAGCATGCTTTTTAGCCTTCAGGTGTTTGATTATTTGGATGCTTTTATTGTAGTCGATTTCTAGTTTTATGCCAATGTGATCTGAGAAGATGCTTGATATGATTTCTATCTTCTTGAATTTGAAGAGGCATTGCCTGTGACCCAATATATGGTCTGTCTTTAAAAATGACCCATGTACCCTTGAGATGAATGTATATTCTGTGATTTTGGGGAGAAGTGTTCTGAAGATGTAAATTAATTCCATCTGGTCTAGTGAGTCATTTAGGATTGATGTTTCTTTGCTAATTTTTTGCTTAGAGGATTTGTCCAATGGTAATAGGGGGGCACTAAAATCCCCTACTATGGTTGTATTAGTGTCAATCTCTCCCTTGATATCCTCCAGAATTCTCTTTTAATTTTTTTTGGTCACACCAACCCATTCTGTGCTCCCACCTCTCATATTAGTCTCATTTGCTTTCTTCTTTACTTTTCTCATTGTAGGACTTAGATTCAGCCGGCATTTTGGTGGTTCTGAATGATGGCTAATGATGGTCATTCTGGATTTTAATTGTGATTTTGATATGGTGCTGAGTACTTTGATTACCTACAATGCAATCTTGGTTCTTCTCAGAAAAATCAATATTTTGAAGTGAAAATTCAGTAAAACAGAAAAATACAGAATAATTTATATCAATTTTTTCCTTTAGCTATTGAGTTAAATATGAGATTCAAAAATATTTATTTTGCAGCATTAAAAAAATAATAAAGAACTGTATTTAATTAAAAATTTTTTATTTTTATTGTTATATTATGGATGTCCCCGTTTCCCCCTCCACCTCCTTCACCCTAAATCCACCACCCCCAGACCTACCACACTATTGTCTATGCTCAGGGGTTATGCATATATGTATATAAGTTCTTTGGTTCATTTCTTAAATTCAGAAATGAGAAAAAAATTAATATATTTTATATATTAAAATTTTTTAAATATATTAACAGAGAGGAAGGGAGAGGGATAGAAAGCTAGAAACATCGATGAGAGAGAAACATAGATCAGCTGCCTCCTGCACACCCCCTCCTGGGGATGTGTCCACAAGCAAGGTACATGCCCTTTACCAGAATCAAACCTGGGACCTTTCAGTCCGCAAGCTGATGCTCTATCCACTGATCCAAACCCGTTTTGGCCAGAAATGAGAAAATTAACTTACTAGATGTTATCTGGATGGTTACAATTGTAATACTTATGGAAGAATAAATAACCATTTGATCCATATTAGTAAATCCCTTTAATACCTACAAATGATTATACCTGAAGCAAAACATACTGAGATTGTATCAGAAAAATCCTTAAATAACTCTTGAGTTTTATTCAGCAATTTTTTATTTTGTATTTAACAAATTCTAGTTTTTAGAACAATGCTAGATACTGTCTAAACCTAAATGTTCAAATGAGAACCCCACTCAAAGTCTTACACGGAAGTCTTAATAACTCAAAGCTAAGATATATGTAGAATTAAGAGTCCAGGATTTCAGTTATACTGTGAGGTATGTTTTCAGAGAGAGAGAGAGATAGAAATATAGCATTCTTATCACATTAATTTAAATAACAAAATTATTAAATTATATAAATTTGTGTACATACATATACATACATATGTATGTATACAAAAAAATACAGATAGCAAAAAAATACTCTTAAAAATTGGCCAAAGTGTAGAGGTGGTAAATTTAAACCAAAAGCTTTAAATTTGTTTAAAATAAATTTAAGATAACATACTAAATAAGAAGTTTAAAAAGAAAAGCTGTTTTGAAAAAAATATATAAGAAAGGCACAATTAAAACAAATGGGTAACCTGGGAGAATTTATTTCTGAAAGACAGAAAAGTCCTAATTCCTTAATATTCCCCTTATGCTAATAATTGTCTTTAGTGAAAGGAAAATATACTTACATATTTTCTAAGACACTTTATTCATTTTCTAGAGCCAGTGCAAACAGAACTGTTTATGTCCATGTCACCAAGTTGAAATTAAAAAAAAAAAGATTATAAAATATTGAAGATTTGCCCATTGTTAATAGATTTTTTTCAGTACTACATTGTAGCTTTAACAGTTGGGTTGAATTTTAGTTGTCATAATACTTGTATTCTAAAATCCACAATAATAATTTAGGAACAGTTCATCAGTGTTTAGCAAGAATCTTTTGGTAAGTTGGCATAGGCTTGACACTTGGAAGTTCAATTCTGTTTTGTTTTGTTTTTTCTAGCACTTTAGCTACTTCAAATATAAGAAAATAAGACCAGAAGCTAGTATATGATACTGGTCAAATTTCAATCCAAAAGAAAACTGGTTATAGAAAAAAATTTATTTGTTAAGAAATTCTGATTTTTTTCAGAATTTACTGCTATAATTTTTATTTCCTTAATTAAAACTGTACATTTAGACATAAAAGTTTAGATTATATTTTAAGTATAGTAAGTCTCCACTTAACATCATTAACACATTCTATAATTTGACATGAAAAAACTTCTAATTAAATCAATTTTACCATAAGCTAATTGATGAGAGATAAGTTTCTAAAGTATCACATTAACACATTATAATGAAATGGGGGGGGGGAACCCATACAAACAGTGTTATTAAAGGACCTGCTATATATGAAATATTCTAGGGTTTCAAATTCAAATTTAGGTGCTTTATTCAGAATCAGATTTTCTTAAAGTTTTTGTTTATTTTGTTTTGTTTTTTAGGTAGTGATTAGAAAAGAAGAAATTGACTTTGGGCCTATTTCTCCTTTTTAGAGGTGTTTCTTATGCTTCAAATAAATTCCAAAAAGTGTTATTTCATCATGATCATTCTTCTTACAACTCCATATCCTTTAAATTTTTGTATTAAAAAATGATATGGTTAGCATTTTAAAATACTTTGATCATGTAAACACCCTGTATATATTGTCATGCTACAATGTGGTGCGGTAAATTTCTATATGCTGTGGCAATGTATTTTCCTAACCACAGCTTCCTCCTAACATTTAAGCAGTTGTCAAAACTATATTATAACTGATTTTTAAAAGTCTTCTATGAAGATAGCTTTTTTTAAAAAAAATATATTTTACTGAATTTTTAAAATTGATTATGGTCTCATATAATTGTCCTTATTCCCCCATTCCCATCCTAAACCCCTCCTTAGATATGCCCCCCCCCCCAAACCCCATTGTCCATGGCCACTGGCTAGGCCCATATGTATGCACACAAGTCCTTTGGTTGATCTCTTCCCCTTACCCTCATCCTCCCTTACTTTCCCTCTGAGGTTTGAGAGTCTGATCACTGGTTCTCTTTCTCTGGGTCTGTTTATGTTGTTCATTATTTCCTCTAGATGTGTGAGATCATGTGATCCAACAAATACCCCTGTAAAAACCTAAACTGCAACAAGCCATAATGGTTATGCTGAGAGGAAAATGAATCAGTCTGTAGTGAGTTCCTTTCTGGGCCAACAGTTCTTTTGCATCCCAATTTCAATGCCAGAGAGTTCCTTATGTGTACATGCCAGCCATGATATTTCAGATCTGGTTGGTGGCTTGCTTTTATTTCATTGTTGCTTTCACTAGTCTATTTTTACTTTTAGCCAGACATCAAAGCTAAAATTTAAACAATGGTTTTCAATAATAAAACTATCTGTTTCCCCCGAAAAATAGTTTGGAAAATTGTGGTATTTAATATTTTGTTTATCTGGATGAAAAACATACATTTATATGTAGGTTTGTATTCTATACATATATTATGGTCAGCAGAAGAAATGTTTGAACTACAATAGTATTTGAAGGATCTAAAGAAAAATTTTGATTAGCAGGCTTTGCAAGTTTACAAATGAATGTTATTTTTTACAATTAAGACATTTATCCTTTGGCTACACATGGTTTTTATTTTATTATTTTAGCACTCAAAGATTATTGAAGTAGGACTTTAGTTTCTTTCCTATTAAAAGATTTAATAAAATGATGCTTTAAAAAAAAATCAAGGCTTTGACCATCTTTGAGTTTCCCTACATGCCTAAAATACTCTATAATTTGTATATAAAAATTTTAGACCTGTCTGCCTATTTTATGTGACATGCTATTGATTTCTTTCAGTTTTGTTTTCTGAAGAGTGTAATAAGTAAATGATTAGGGTGAGATAATAACGACATGGTATTTGTGAGTATGGCAAAAATGTATTGTTTTCAAATATGAAGGCAACTTCAGGAATAACTGGGTGGTATTTCATTGACACTTGTGATATTTAAGGAGAAGCATTCACAGATACAAAGACATTCTTCAAGACGTGATTACTATAAGACCAAGAGGTTTACCCACAAGCATCGTAAAGGTCTAAAGATCTCATATGGGAGGATTGCTACAATAGTATGAAGGGGGAAAAAGGAAGTCCAATAGTCCTGTAGAGATGAAGAGACAGTCTGAAATCTCTAAATTTTCAGTGTGAAGACAGTAATATTTTCTACTGCTTGAAAGAGAACAAACATAATGATAAGGAGTCCTAATATAGAAATCACTATAGAGATAATGGGAGATGCATGATGGGATGGGTACAACTGCCCTTCCCTGCTGGTCATCTTGTGGTGGCCATCTTGTGTCCACTTGGGGGCTGGATCTTTGACCACATGGGAAAAGCCATTTTGTGTGTTGGAGTGATGGTCAATCTGCATATTAGTCTTTTATTAGATAGGATAGAGGCCTGGTACATGGGTGGGGTCAGCTACTTTGCCCTGAAGGGTGTCCCAGATCATAGTGGGGGTTCCCTTGGGGTATGGGGTAGCCTGGGTGAGGGGCCTGTTGTGGTTTGCAGGCAGGTCACACACCCCCAGCGACCCAAATGGAGGCCCTGGTATCTGGGATATATTTATCTTCTACAATTGAAACTTTGTAGCCTGGAGCAGAGCCAAGCCTTCTGCTTGCTCTGTGTCAGCAGCCATTTCTGTTGGGGTTTATTCACCTTTTTTAAAATTTTTATTCATTTATTAAATTATTATCTGTGTACATATTTTAACATTGCCCCCCCACATACCCTCCCTCCCCAGAGTTTTGTGTCCCTTAGTTGTACTTATATGCATGTATACAAGTCCTTCGGTTGATCTCTTATCTCCCCCAGATCTCCCTACTCTCCCTGGTGTAATTTTACAGTCTGCTTGTTGCTTTACTGTCTTTATATCTATCTTTTGGTTTGTCAGTTTATAATGTTTCTTAATGTCCATAAATATTTCACTCAGCATAATGTTCTCTAGTTCTATCCAGGTTGCTGCAAATGATGAGAATTCCTTCCTTTTTATGGCAGCATAGTATTCCATTGTGTAGATGTACCATAGTTTTTGGATCCAATCATCTGCTGACGGGCACCTAGGCTGTTTCCAGATTCTAGCTATTGTAGATTGTGCTGCTATGAACATAGGGGTGCATATATCCTTTCTGATTGGTGTTTTTAGTTTCTTGGGATATATTCCTAGGAGTGGGATTACTGGGTCAAATGGGAGTTCCATTTTCAGTTTTTTGAGGAAACTCCACACTGTTCTCCACAGTGGTTGCACCAGTCTGCATTCCCACCAGCAGTGCACGAGGGTTCCTTTTTCTCCGCAACCTCGCCAACACTTGTCTTTGTTGATTTGTTGATGTTGGCCATTCTGACAGGTGTGAGATGGTACCTCATTGTTGTTTTGATTTGCATCTCTAGGACAATTAGTGACCTTGAGCATGTTTTCATGTGCCTTTTGGCCTTCCTTCTGTCTTCTTTTGAAAATATTCTATTTAGGTCCATTGCCCATTTTTTTAATTGGATCATTCATCTTACCTTTATTTAGTTGTATAAGCTGTTTGTAGATGTTGGAGATTAAACCTTTATCCGTGGTAACATTTGCAAATATGTTCTCCCACACAGTGGGCTTTCTTGTTGTTTTGCTGATGGTTTCTTTTGCTGTAAAAAAGCTTTTTATTTTGATGTAGTCCCATTTGTTTATTTTCTCTTTAGCTTCCATTGCCCTAGGGGCAGTATCAGTGAAGAAGTTCTTTTGGCATACGTCTGAGATTTTGTTGCCTTTGGATGCTTCTAGTATTTTTATGGTTTCCCGTCTGATGTTTAAGTCCTGTATCCATTTTGAGTTTATTTTTGTGCATGGTGTAAGTTGGTGATCTAGTTTCATTCTTTTGCATGTATCTGACCAATTTTCCCAACACCATTTATTGAAGAGACTGTCTTGATTCCATTGTATATTCGTGCCTCCTTTGTCAAATATTAATTGAGCATAGTGATTTGGATTGATATCTGGGTTCTCGATTCGATTCCATTGATCTATATGTCTGTTTTTGTGCCAGTACCAGGCTGTTTTGAGAACAGTGGCTTTGTAATACAGTTTGAAGTCTGGTATTGAGATCCCTCCTACTTTACCCTTCTTTCTCAGGATTGCTGTGGCTATTCGGGGTCTTTTATTGTTCCAAATGAACTTTTGGGGAGTTCTTTCTAGGTCAGTGAAATATGCCGTTGGTATTTTAATAGGGAGTGCATTAAACCTATAGATTGCTTTAGGAAGTATGGACATTTTGATGATGTTGATTCTACCAATCCATGAACATGGTATGTTCTTCCATCTGTTTACATCTTCCTCTATCTCTTTTTTCAGTGTCGTGTAGTTTTCCGCGTATAAGTCCTTTACTTCCTTAGTTAAGTTTATTCCTAGGTGTCTTAATTTTTTTGGTGCGATGGTAAATGGAATTGCTTTTTTAGTCTCTGTTTCTATAAATTCGCTGTCGGTGTATAGAAATGCCATAGATTTCTTGGCATTAATTTTGTATCCTGCTACATTGCCAAATTCATTTATTAAGTCAATTAGTTTTTTAATGTAGTCTTTTGGGTTTTTTATATACAAAATCATGTCGTTTGCAAATAAGGATAACTTTACTTCTTCTTTTCCAATTTGGATGCCTTTTATTTCCTCCTCTTGTCTGATTGCAATGGCTAGTACTTCCAGTCCTATGTCAAACAGGAGTGGCGAGAGTGGGCATCCCTGTCTTGTTCCTGTTCTTAGAGGGAATGGTTTTAGTTTTTGCCCATTGAGTATGATGTTGGCTGTGGGTTTATCATATATAGCTTTTATTATGTTGAGGTATGATCCTTGTACTCCCACCTTGTTGAGAGTTTTTATCAGGAAAGGATGTTGGATTTTATCAAATGCTTTTTCTGCATCAATTGATATGACTATATGATTTTTATCTTTCAATTTGTTTATGTGATGTATCACATTTATTGATTTGCGGACATTGTACCAACCTTGCATTCCTGAAATAAATCCTACTTGGTCATGGTGTATGATCTTTGTGATGCTCTGCTGGAGGTGATTTGCTAGAATTTTGTTGAGGATTTTGGCATCTATGTTCATGAGGGATATTGACCTGTAATTCTCTTTCATTGAGTTGTCTTTATCAGGTTTTGGTATTAGAGTGATGCTGGCTTCATAGAAGGAGTTTGGAAGTGTTCCTTCCTCTTGAATTTTTTGGAATAGTCTGAGGAGGATAGGTTTTAGTTCTTCCTTGAATGTTTGGTAAAACTCTCCTGTGAAGCCATCTGGCCTTGGGCTTTTGTTTGCTGGAAGCTTTTTGATGACTGTTTCAATTTCTTCCCAAGTCACTGCTCTATTGAGATTTTTAGATTCTTCCTGATTGAGTTTTGGAAGTTTGTATTTTTCTAGGAATATGTCCGTTTCCTCCAGGTTGTTCTGTTTGTTGGAATAGAGTTGTTCGTAGTATTTTGTAACAATCCTTTGTATTTCAGCGGGATCTGTTGTTATTTCACCTCTTTCATTTCTGATTTTGTTTATTTGGGTCCTCTCTCTTTGTTTCTTGGTTAGCCTGGCTAGAGGTCCATCTATCTTGTTTATCCTTTCAAAGAACCAGCTCTTGGTTTTGTTGATCTTATGTATTGTTTCTTTGGTCTCTATGTCGTTTATCCGTGCTCTGATTTTTTGTTATTTCCTTCCTTCTGCTTTCACTGGGCTTTTCTTGTTGCTCTTTTTCTAACTCTTTGAGTTGTAGAGTTAGATCATTTGTTACCATTTTTTCTAGTTTTTTGCATAGGCTTGTAGGGTTATTCACCTTCTATAATTGAAACTTTGTAGCCTGGAGTGGAGGCCAAGGCTGCCCAGGGCAGGTGGAAAGCTTGGCTTCCCCCATCACCAGGGAAACCCAAGCCTCTCTCCTGCTCTCTCCATGGCCACAGCCACCTTGGTTGGGTTGATTTGCATACTCACTCTTGATTGGATGTTGGGCATGGTTTGTTGGTGTAGTGGAGTGATGGTTATTTTGCATATTTCTCTTTTATTAAATAGGATTTCTAAAATTGAGGTCACTGGATCAAATGGAAGTTTTGTTTTTAATTTTTTTGAAGAAACTTGATACTGTTTTCCACAGTGGCTGTACCAGTTTGCATTCCCACCAGCAGTGCATGCGGGTTCCTTTTTTCCACATCCTCACCAAGACTTGACAGTTGTTGATTTGTTGATGGTAGATATTCTGACAACTGTAAGTTAATACCTCATTGTGGTATTAATTTACATCTCTCTGATGATATGATCAGTGACTGAACATTTTTTTCATGTATCTTGGCCATGTGTATGTCCCTTTTGGAGAAATGCTTATTTAGGTTCTTTGCACACTTATAATTGGATTGCTTGTCTTCCTTTTGTTAAGCTGTAAGTTCCTTGTATGGTTTGGAAATTGACCCCTTATGGGATGTATCACTGGTAAATAAGTTCTTCCATGCTACTGCGTGGGCTCTCTTTTCATTTTGTTGATGGTTTCTTTTGCTGTGCAGAAGCTTTTTATTTTGATGTCATCCCATTTGTTTATTTTGACTTAGTTTTCTTTGCCTTGGGAGATGTATCAATAAACATATTGCTATGAGAGATGTCTGAGATTTTGCTGCCAACAAAGAGTCATGGCCCCTTTAAATGTTCATTGTAGCCACTTTGTAAATAACTGCTTTTCTTGTACTTGGTCTTTTGCTAGACACTTCAAAGAGATACCCATTAGTTATGGTTTTTGCTTCTAGTTGTTTAATTCCTAGAAATATACAATCTTCCAAATTCTGAGTAAAGTGATTACTAGTAAGGAGATTGAATCAATAATAACAAACTTCCCAAAAAATAAAGGCCCAGAATGAGAAGGCTTCACTGGTGAATTTTAATACCAGTTTTTCTCAAACACTTCCAAAAAATTGAAGAGGAAGAAACCCTTCTAAGTACATTTTATGAGACCAACATTGCCATGTTTGCATGTTAAATGATAAAATAATGGACATTCATGTTCTTTCAGTTTTATTTATGGAGGATGAAGTGGCTGTTACACATCAGCCAGAAGGAGTAACATGTTTTTCTCTGTGCAATTGTTAGGCACACTATGCAATTCATTCTCTCTATTTATAGGAATTTTCCAATCAGGAAGCCCAAAATAAAACTAACTGCACAGAGGAGAAATGAAAGTAACAGTGACTTTCTTGACAAATGACAGCTTATTTTTACCTGCATACATGTTATAAAAAATATCTAAAAATCTACTGGACATATGATGAGACCACAACATTCCTATAATCCCACTTAGAATATTATGTTTACTTCTAGTTACCATATTTTTTTTTAAAAAAAAAAGTATGTAGCATTTGAAATGTGGAATTAGATTGACCTTAAGACTACAAAGAATGAGCTGTGAAGACAGGATAGAATCCTGATTTTCTGTAACATTTAAAGAGCAAGGTTAAAGAAGATTTAATTGTAAATAAACTCACTTGATATGTATATACTAGATAAAGTCAAATTCGTTTTTATTATAATAGAGATTCTTAAAAAAAGAGATGTAGAAATGTGAATGGAAGTGAAACTTGCTGTAATAAATATCTGCACTCCAAATCTATCATTTGCATGCAAACAGAATAATGCCCTACTATTTTTTCTGTGAAGTAAAATGTCTGAAGAATTTTCAGTGAGTCCTTTTCTGAAACATAGGAAAGATATGCCCCTTAGCTGAATACCTCTGACAGACATAGCAATAAGTATTTATAAACCAATGGAAAAAGAGTATGCCTCAGGAATGGCAACTAAGCTGCACTAACTACTCATTTATCAAAAGGAATTTAATGTATCTGTATTTTTGCTAGGTAGTTGGTAATTTAGAAACCAGAGAACCATATGATATTTGAGTTATCATTGATTAGAGAGGTCAGTTTGTCCAATACTTGTTTTACAAATGAGTATACTGGGATCTAGAGAGGGGAAGACATTTGCTCATGGTCACACTGCTAATCAGTTGTGTAGTTTGGGACTAATATTCAAGTCCCTTTATGCCTTATTCAGGTATTTTTGTTTTGTTTTGTTTTCTGAAGAGGTTACTGTTTGAAAATTGATTTATAAATTGGTTTCATGGAACTTGGAAAATAATATTTCATGAATAAAGTCATAAGCTCAGAGTTCTCCTTTGCTCCATTCTATACTTTGTTTCCATGTTAATTTAAGCTTTAATTTATACGAATGCTAACTTTATACTTTCTGTTGCACATGTTCCTTCCTTTTGATCCTCATCTTTATCAATCTGGTGATATTATGCTAAGAATATTGCAATAATTTCCTTCCTAGTCTTACCTACAAACTTTCTTGTATCAATTCATTCTGTCCATCCTGTATCAATCATTCTTATTCTTTCTTTGTTCTTCAAAACTTATTTATCCTTCAAGACTTATATTTCATCTCTTTCATAATGACTTTACTGTTTACTGTAGGTAAAAGTGATACTTTCATCTAAATTCTTATAACAGTTCATTTGTATTACTCATGCATTCAATATTCATTTATCAGATATTTTTGAGTGCCACCACGATGTCAGGAAATCGTGTGAAATTTTGCACTCAAAACCTTTCAATGTAACAATATGCAACAATAATATTTTTCACTTTATAGATAGTATGTTCTGATATCAGGGGCCATGCCTGAAGATCTTTGTATTCTCCATGGTTCATAGCAAAAAACCTTTTGTACATAGTTGAAGATCAGTAAGTGTTTGTAGAATAAATGTTGAATTAATACGCTGTTATGGTAGAATGAAGAGAAAAATGTGGTCTCTATAGGATCAGTATACAAACTACTAATATCAGTTATATAATACTAGTAGCCTGGTGCACAGATCCATGCATATCGAAAGGAAATTAATTAGAAAGTGGCCAGTGGGGCTGGACTGGGAGAAAGGCTGGACACACCCTGGAGCCAATCTCCTGTGGTCCCTCCCCAGCCCACAGCACCTGGGGTGGCGCCACAGTTCAAAGGACACCTGGGAAGTGAGTGGGGTCCCTCCAGCAGGTGGGGTCCCTCACCTGGCCTGCAGGGTTAGGGCTGAAACTGGCTCACCAACATCACCAAAGGGTCCTGGAGTGTGAGAGGGCTCTCTGCAAAGTTGCTGTTGTACAGGGTGTGGAATGCAATTTCAAGTGTACAGTAAATCAGATTCAGGATTGACAGTGTCCCAGCAACAACGTAACTCAGGACCTAAGGTGGAATCGGGCTCCCGCCTCTCTGGTTCTAAGGTGTGTCACTGGAGAACTGACAACCACTGCTGCCATGTCACCTCAGCTTGGCAGCTCCTGCCTTGAGTGTTTGCCCCCTGGTGGTCAGTGCACGTGATACCTACCGGCCAGTCAGATGGTCGCTTCGCCTTTTATATTTATATATAGATGTCTGAAGAGCTTCCTTTAACTCTTAAAGAAGTTGTTTTTATACATGTCATAAAAGTGGCAAGATGATCACAGAACAAAGCCATCAAGGAAAATAGGTACTCAGTCATATTTGGATAGATAAATATTGTAAACAACAATAAGTGGAAGAACACTGAAGCAGATTAAAAATGTTTTAGTTCCAGTCTCTCTATAAAAGTGGTACGGTGTTTCAAACCCACTTTTGTAGACAAATTACTTGTACTTTATTAGTTAACAAAGAAAAATGCCCTATTTAGTGTAAAACTGTAACAGTAAGGTTATCGTTTAACATGAGATTTTGAACATGTAAATGAATTATACGTAATATTTCAAAAGGTAATCATTTGTAATTTTAAGTATCTGCCTTTGGTATTTTAATCGTTAAAAAATGCTATTTTATTTCATTTTATTTATAATAAGTAGTAGTACTTGTCAAGGATTAACTCAAGAGATTTAATAGACTTTCAAATAAATAAT